TCTGCCCTAATGAGCCAATTGAGGCCATCATGATGCATGCCCTGATTTCAGCCAGGAATAACAACACAATTTGGCCCAGAGGACACATGAAGAACACACACACACAAACACACACACATACTTCAGTGAGGTTTCTAACCTCAGCTAACACAAAAAGGGGTCGAGTTTATGAAAGCAAAGACAGAAAATGTAGAGACAGAGAAAGAGAGAGGGGGGACAGATAAAAAGAGAAAGAGGTTGATGGAGTGGAGAGGGCCAGAGGCTGAGAGAGAAACTATCATCAGCCTGTACACCGTTTCAGCTTTCTGTGCTTAATGGACTCGGTGGGCAGAAAAGATGAACAGAGAGAGAGAGAGTTATTGAATGTATGATGCATTAATGGCTCGTATTAATAACACAGCAGGACCAGACAAAATAATTTCGGCTCATGTCTAACTAACCACTCTCTATCCACAGTGACCAAGCGTTCCAGTTTTCTGAGGGCAGTCCTCATTTTTTTGGTACCTGTCTGGAGCTCTCTTTACAGCCTGAAAAGTGAAATTATATGTAATGAGCCAGATATTGCATGCTAAATATTAGGCCTTTATCATCGCAGCATACAATGTGTAATTTCAATTTCAACTGTACACACAATTTTAGGTGAAAAAACTCATTGCAATGAAGACAATTTAAAACAGATTATTCTGTGTCCTGTAAATAAAGTAGTTTACAATACTATGACAGAGTATGATTTACCATAATTACTCACAACTACCACAGTCAAAGTACACAAAACCGGAATTGTTCCCCTCCTAATTATTTAATTCATAGTTTATATCATTGGAAATGTAAATTGATCGCTGAACTATAAATGTCCCTGGTTTTCATTTCAGAAATCTAGTCACCTTAGTGAGTGAGAGAGTTTTAAAGTCCAATTCAGTTGTATTGCTGCACTGAAAGGGGAAAATGGGTCAATATTCAACCGTAGTTTCATTAGCTACTGAAAACAGGTCTTGTGTTTACGCCTCTGAGCTGTTGGTCTCCAACATCCCATTTCTTTATCTGTCACTCCTCTCTTTTGGTCTCAATATGACCTCCCTCCCTCTCGCTAGAAACAGCTGTTGTTGTGTAGCTGCTCCTCAAACCCCCTACGGGCAAGAGAAGTGAACGCAACGAACTCAACCCACACTACAAGGCTGGGCGCCCCGGTCCGCTATGCGGTCTCGTCTGACCGACACATCACTGTGATTACAGCATATACATCAGTGAGGTTCTCCTCAACAAAACCCAGCCACTTATTATCCTCACACATTCACCTCACAGTCTTCTTTCGCCCCGGGCGTTTCTCAGCCCTTCGCTGAATAAGATGAGCCCATCAATTAAATGCAACAGAGATATTGATTCAAGTGAATGGTGTTATAACCGTGGAGACACTCGAGGACATCGTATTATGCCGATGCGTTCATTAATATTTGCTGTAGAACACAGACAGAGCAGGTTCTCTGGTGGAGTGCTCAGAAATTCAACATGGACCTGTTAGTCTGCAACTGCTGACGAATAAATTTACAGCTCAGTAGCGCAATCTGTGAAAATGCAGCAATTCAGGGATTATATTAATTAGACATAATTCGGCTAGATCTGAATATCAGTATTGTTTTGGACAGTTACTGTGTCTGATTGGCATATTTGGCAGGTGTCCTGAAAAAGAGAAGGATATTATCCACGCTCAGGCTTTAAAAAAATGCAACACTCGTGGGCAATTTACGTTTTGGAGAACTGGCGGATAATTCATGTTAAAGAAATGGTTCACCCAAAAATGAAAATTTGCAGAAAATTCACACCCTCAGGCAATCCAAGATGAGTTTGCTTCTTCACTGGCACAGAATTGGAGAAATGTAGCATTAGTTACATAACCATATATTTACAGTTATATGGATCCTCTGCAGTGAATGGGTGCTGTCAGAAATAGTGTTTAAACAGCTGATAAAAACAACACAATATACAAGTAATCCACACAACTCCAGTGCATCAATTAACATTTTGTGCAGCGAAAAGCTGCATGTTTATAAGAAACAAATCCATCATTAAGATGCTCATTTAGATTCAATTTGTTGCTTCCAACTAAAACATGAGTCCTCTATCCAAAATATTGCTTTCTCAAGTGAAAAAAGTCATCTTGTCTGAATCAGGAGAGAAATATGCACACATCAAGCACTGTTTAACTGTTTTATCAGCTGTTTGGACTCTCATTCTGATGGCACCCATTCACGGCAAATGATCCATTGGTGAGCAAGTGATGTAATGCTACATTTCTCCAAATCTGTTCCAATGAAGAAGCAAACTAATCTACATCTTGGATTGCCTGAGGGTGAGTATATTTTCAGCAAATTTTAATTTTTAGTTAAACAGTTCCTTTAACTTGTACAATCAGATCAGTACTTTTTTGTTTTATCTGCTTACAGCCCACTGACAGCTAGGTTTGTGGTGGACCTTGCTATGTTTCTTCTTAAAATCGTCAGTTAGCAAAACAATGTTGTTAATTGAAAAGATGATTCTCATTTGTTGCCAAATATAGCTAACTGTCCTTGCAACTATTGCACTGCTTGCCAGTTTAGGCCTCGTGTTAGGGCTACAGGTAATTTCTTCATGACAAAGGCACATTTACATCCCGATAAGTATATTGTGCTGACAAAATGTTCGTATTGTAATGTTAACGGTAACTCATCCTGACAAATAAGCACATTTTCTCAGACAAGTATGCCTGCTTAAATTATTGGTAGATCATGGGTGGCTTGATCATTTCAGAATGATTGCTTTTTTGATGTAGAGTTTGCTGTCAAGTCATGTTAAGAAGAGTAATAGCTCTGATGGCCACAACTTACTGCTAGTAATAATGATTTCTCTTTTGGGCTTCTAAATATACAGGAGGTCTCGTAACTAACAGGTGGGAGGTATGCAATATTTCAATAGGCATAACAACAATAGTGACTGTGAAAATCCTCATATAAGTATTATATAATTCAATAAAACACATCTTAACCATAAAATGAGTATGATTCTCTCATAAGTGGGGATTTTGAGGCAGGCATCTTCAGGGCCCTCTTAAGTGTGAATGATAGATGCGTTCAAATACTTTATATTGCAGTGTGCTGTTGTCACCTGGTGGCTGCAAAGGTAACTACACGAATAATTTGAGCTCTATACAGTGACATGAGTCATTCGTATTTTATGGTGTTTGTACGGTGGCCGAGAAGTGCTAAACAAATCAGAATTCTGAAAACAAAATAACAAATTACAAACGCAAATGCAAGTCTAAAAAACAAAATAATTCAGAAAGCACAACAACAATTCAGAAAACATTATAACAAATCAGAAAACACAGACAAATTCGAAAACAAAATAACAAGTCAGAAAACACAACGACAAATCCGAAAACAAATGAACAAGTCAGAAAACAACGACAAATCAGACAACCGGAAGAGGTAAGTATAGTTTGAGACAGCGCCATTGGTTTGGGATTACTCACCGCTGACTGGACGAGACATCTGTCAATCAACGTATACAGGAAGAACCAGCCGAAGACAGCAGAGTCGTGGTAGAAAGTTCGGAGATGGTATTAAAGTAGCTCAGTTTAAATGTATTGGTTGAATTGCCCTTACTATGGAATAAAAAATACACGGTGTCTATTTACATTTAGTTAAAAGTGGCTGTAAATAGTCAGCTCCAGTGGTGCAGATGGATAAGTGTGTGTCATTGGCTTTTTGACGCGATCGACCCGGGTTCGATCCCGCCTTTTGACAAACGTTTTTTTCCCTCCCTTTTCAAATCTCATATTAGCAATGGATTATGTGATACGAGATTTGAAAAGGGAGAAAAAAAAGTTCGGCAAAAGGCGGGATTGAACCCGGGTCGATCGCATCAAAAAGCCAATCACACACACTTATCCATCTGCACCACTGGAGCTAATGGGTTTGTTTTCAGAATTGTGATTTGCTTTGCACTTCTCGATCACCGTAGTTTGGCTCATTGCTCCCACGTCAAATAAGTAAACACAAATCTTGATCTAATGGACAGTGACGCTGTGGAAAAGCAGAGAAAGACATGTATTTAGGCTATGCTTAAAATAAAGACACTTTTTATAAAGACTCTTTACCTTTGGTCAATTTTGGCCCTGTGGTGTTTCAGAAAATAAACATTTTTGTTTTATTTCTCAAGTCATGAACATTTCCGCCACCATCTCAAATTATGCATTGTGTATACAATATATATAAACATTTGTGGAATAAAATGGCAGGCTTGATTGTCTTACTAAGACTAATAGGTAGTGTTGTACATATCCTAAATAGGCCTACGCACAAATAAATACTTTCACATGTTTTGCATAATTTGACAAAACTACAGCTTGATTGTAAATGAAACAAAAATATAGGCCTATACGATACAATATAGTGAGTTTTTACCTTGTTGTTCCTGTGTTTGCTTCCACCACGAGACCATGCATTAGGCTGCTTCATGGCTTGAAACTTGTTTTCTTTTTTCTTTTTTTCTAGTCTAAAGGTAACAAAAGTCATTTTACATTTGCAATGCGTGAATACTATTCTTACTATTTCTGCCATACAAAAGATATAGCAAAAGATATGACAATATCTATGTATTTAATGACGCACATACTTTTTTTTTTTTTTTTCAGATTCCCAGTTCTTTTATAGAGAAAATATCAAATATTTAATTGTTAAAATATCTATAAGGAACTATAAACTATAAGGGGATAGCAACTACTTGGGTTATTTAGTAATCTCTCAATAATCCTCAATTGCTTCTGTGTGTTCTCTGTGTTGTACCTAAGTGAAGTTATTAAAATTAGTGCCATCAGTGGAGGATGCGGGCATCGACCCCGCTACCTCTCGCATGCTAAGCGAGCTCTCTACCATCTGAGCTAATCCCCCTCTGCAAGTTTAACTGTCTGGAAAGATATTGAGGATGAGATATCATGAGGGTGTTACACTATAATAGTTCCGGCGGAAGTGAGTAGAACCAGCCGCGCGGTTACAGATAGGCGAAAATGTCGACCGGGGTGGGAAGTAAGTGTTATTTTATTTCCTCAACATATTCACAATACAGTCTAAAATCAAATCACTTTGTAAATTGGATTCTGAAGTATTTTATCCTGTTTAAATAGAGTAGCTAATGCTCTTAGTAGCGCTGGGGCGAGCAATTTAAGTTAGTTTCTGCGCTAGCTGGCTTCATGATAACAAAGACGATCAATGTTTACATTGTCAGCACACATTTCTCTCTGTTCTTGAACAGAATTTGATATTTTACGTTCTGTATATGTAATATAAATGATTTTGTTTAACAAATGGTCTTGTGTTAAATAATTGTTGTTTTAAAGAAGCACCTAACGTCATACTACATTATGATGATCAGCCTTTTTTTATTTTACCATAATTTCCCCCCACGATTTTGTGTAACGAATTGCATTCAATACAGCTTCAAATAAAACTCATATTTTGAACACCTAACTAGAACACAAGATGCTGTCTCTGGGTCCGACTGAACCCTGGTCAGTTCGGGAGAAACTCTGTCTCGCCTCCTCAGTGATGAGAAGCGGAGATCAGAACTGGTAAGAATAAATAATGAACGCTCATGATCATAGAACTGTATTCAGATTGAAGCATGTTAAATAATGCAGAGCTCTACACCGTAGCAGTGTCTGTATTGTAGTTTTTCTTAATGTATGAGGACGTTGTTAATCACCCTTAATCAAACGTGGACTTAAAAAGGGGCTTCTTTTACATTTAGAGGATTGTGGCAGTTACGTCAGTAGTTATGATTAGGACGTAAGATAATAATTTGAGAATGCGGGCATCGATCCCGCTACCTCTCGCATGCTAAGCGAGCGCTCTACCATCTGAGCTAATCCCCTTCTCAGCAGGAGTGAAACGAACCTTTTCGAAGCTTCGAATCAGTTGAACCAATTGCTTCGCAAAATGATTCATATGAGATATGAAGCAACAATAAGAATATTTATAATGGGAACCACTAGTAAAAATTAAGCTATTTTTGCCGTTCTTTCATTTTTTTGGTTCATTACAAATTACATTATGAGCATAATTTAAATAGAGATTGAGATTTGAAAATGTTCTAAATAGAATTCTGTGCTTAAGAATTGGTGGAAAATCACATTTATGTTTTTAAAATTGTAAAACATTGTTTTTATTTCCAAGTTTAGAGTTTGAATCTATTATCCAAAAAGTTGTAAATAAAACAAAGATTACTGGAGTACATTTTACAAGAAGACTCTATTTTAGTCTTTCTGCTTAAATTTTACATTTAATTTAGTGCTGTCAAACGATTAATCGCGATCAATTGCATCCAAAATAAAAGTTTTTTTTATTTTTCTTAAATATGTACATGCATGTGTGTGTATTTATATAGGCTATATATAATAAATATACACAGTACACACACATTTATTATGTAAACAAAAACTTTTATTTTGGATGCAATTAATCGCGATTAATCGTTTGACAGCAGTAATGTAATTCATCGTGTTTTTTGTTTCTTTGTAATTGTTTGTGAAGTTTACTAGCAATTTCTGATTGAAAATTGTGTGTGTAAAAGTGTATGTAATTATTTATAAAGAATTACTGTTAAATATGTATGATACACTGTTATATTTTTTGTCAGGGTGTCTGTAAGCAGAGCCATCAAGCCCTTCTCAGAGCCTGGACGACCCCCGGACTGGTTCTCCCAGAAGGTAATTTAAATGAGGGACTGTGAGTGATTTTATTAGTATTAGTGATTTGCTTAGTGATTCATGTTTTAACATGTCAATATGATCTCTGCAGCATTGTGCCTCCCAATATTCTGAGCTGCTGGAAACCACAGAAGCCCCAAAGTAAGTAAATCCCTCTCTCTCATTCTCAAAACATTTGTGCTGAGTGTCTTTATTAAATGTTGCCATTGTTCTCGCAAAACCCAAAAGATTTAAATTTTACGACCTAGTCTGTGTATACAATGATAACTAATAATCAGCATAGAAGTTATACTTTATATTTGTGCATGGAAAGCAGTAAATATGTGAAAAAGCATTTTATGATTTTTGCACAGACTTTGTGTAATTAGACCTCTGGCTATTATCTTAGCCAGTTAGCATGCTGCAGTAGTTTTGTTGTATAGTATGGCAACCTAAACCATCTCAGTGCATATTCACAAGTTCATTGGTAATTTTGACATGTTCATTCCCTGCAGACGTAAACGGGGTGAGAAAGGGGAGGTGGTCGAGACCATTGAGGATGTGATCGTGCGTAGATTGACAACAGAGAGGATCGAGGAGCTCAAGAGGCTGATCAAAGACACACAGGAGAAATACAGGTACATCTCAACCTGCTTCTCCCTCTCACTGTCTGTATCTTTCACACATATGTGATAAATGTGTTCTGTTCCTTCAGGAAACTGAAGAAAGAGGTGGATTTGATCCAGGCGGGCCATCTGGACCCTAAACTGGAGGAGCTGTGGGCAGATATAGAGCTGTAAGACAATTCTGTACAGGTTTTGCATTGTCTGTCATTTATGTAATTGGCCTTTCATTTCATTTTTCCCATATGATCTAGTTTCAACTAGTTGTATTGATTTCATTTTAACAAACATTTTTTGACATTAGGTTAAACACTTTGAGAAATGGCTGGAGCCCTTTTATTGTATAAAACATATTTTTATGAAATGAATGCACTCTATTTCATTACAAAAAATATATATTTTTAAATATTGTGTATTTTGAGAGGATTACATGGTATTACACACACACAATATTCATCAACAATATTAATTTGATATCCATCAAATTATGCATAATTTATATATGTTAAGTAATACCAATATTATAAAAATACATTTTATTCAATTTTTATATATGTATGTATATGATGAATGTGTGTGTGTTTTCAGACATACTTTTATTAGTTGTTGCATTTGGGTATATATTTAGATATCATTGACTACTTTCTGTCAAAGTTTTATATTTGGTTTATGTTAATTTGAAGTGTCAGTTTTCACATCATGATTATTCAAATCTAAACACAGACAAAACTTTTTGTGACTCATAATCTTCAAACATAATTCAAACTTAAAAATTCTATAAAAACCCTGCGTATGTTGTGAATGTATCATCATGAGATTGTGTGTGTTCTCGTGCTTGTCAGAAAGAGGAAGCAGGAAGAAGAGGAGGCGGAGCAGAAGAAGAGGGCGACTGAGGCAGCATATCAGGGTGAGATTTACATTCACTCAGCACTTTCAAAAGTTAATGCCTCCACAAAAGAAACAATTTTTTTAATTATATTAACTTAGCAGTGTAACATATTGCTGATGTACTTGCAAATAATATTAGTTTACCATGCATCTTATTGCAAATATTGCATTTTTAATACTAGGATATTTCAGTTTTTATTACTTTGGGCTTGTTTCTGGCAGTAAAATGTTTATTTTGCATAAATACATTAAATACATTTATTTTACATAAAAACAATAATACATTTTTCTCTTTCTTTCCAGTTCGTCAGGCAGCTAAAAATACACCAAAGAGAGTTCCCAGCGTGACAGTACGTTCTCCCAGCATGGATGTCTCGCAACCAGAAACACTGCAGCCAGTGACGGATGAATCCTGTGCCAGTCCCATGGTGAATTCCTACCTCTTATTTATTAACATTTAAACTTAAAGCTGATTCTGATAAGAGATCATACTCATGATTTCTCCGTCTAGGCTCAAGGATTGACCGTCTTCATGCCTATATCAGAGGTCACGGGTCCAGGGCCTAAAGAGTCAGGTCTGGCCTCTATGGTAGATGACTCCCCGCAGAAGAAGCACCTTGCCCCAAAAGCCACACCACCTCCCTCCCCGCTGCTGTCTGAACTGCTGAAGAAAGGCAGTCTCATCGCTGCCAGCTCTAGACTTGTGAGTGTGGGATACTGTGAAGCAACGTTTAAGCCTTTGGATTTAAGGGGCATGTCACAAAAAACAGGATTTTGCCTGTCCCAGACCCATTTTCCATTTCTCAACTTTACATTCATGTCTACTTTATATTGTCCTATAAATAAAGTCACCAGAACCGTAGTCAACATACTCTAACATTCGCAATGTAAAGCTCCCTCTTCAGGCCAGCCCATTTCTACTAACTAAACTGCAAATATGGACAATCAGAAATTCTGATATTTACATCACAAAGATTAGCACATTAACATTTAACAAGTTTACATGAGTATTCTGAATTTTGACAAGGGCCAAGTTTTTAGTACTCATTTCACATGCAACAATGTTAGCCAGTCATAACAGAGTAAATTTATTTGTGAAAGTTTTAGTGGCCTTTACACCAAACACTTTTTTAGATTTAGGGTTAGCTTTGCTGCTTTTAGGTTGTTTTAAAATATCCACTAGACAGCATTATTTGCAATTCCTTTGCCCTGCGTTTATGTGAACAGCATTTTTAGAGGTGCTGTGACAAAACCGCATGTTTACTAATATCTTAGTAAAGCTTAGTTTACTTAGCTTAGTCATTAAGCAGGTTGTATATCTAGGTTGTTTTAGTATTATGTACTGTTATAGTTTTTATTAATATTTTTGTTTTATATATATTAATTTCTCATATTTATTAGTAGTTTTCTCATATTAATTAGGCAAGATTTTGACATTGTTGTGCAAGGTTTTTCTTCAAATATTTAGGCTATTTTTATTTTATTTCAGCCTAATTTAAATTAACAAAAAATTTTCATAAATGGTGTTCTTTTTAGTTAACGATAATAACCCAGTGTAGAAACTAAACTATGAATGTTTTTGGTGCAAGAAACCTTGACTAACATTAAAAGTGGAGATTGTGTTTGTAGATTTTGCGAATGGTTTCTCATATTGTTCTGTGCGTGTCTGTTGGGCAGGTGGTTGAAGGTGACGTGGCCACAGGTTTGAGTAATGGATCTCATGGAGTTGAGCTTCACACTGTTGCAACCGCTCTGCCTGCTAATCAAGACATTACAGCTGGTAAACAAAGACACTCCTTTTCTTTCTGTATGTTTAAAATTGTGCGTTTTAAATGTCTCTCTTCAACATTAAACATTTTCTATGTCATTATACAAACTGAATTTTGAGTTATGCTGTTTGTTTTGGTTTGATTTTCTTTAGCACAATTCTTTTGCATTTTTACCATGCGTCCTGCGTGCAAGTTTTAGATTTCATGCTCTCTGTAGTACATTATTACCGTGTAGTTTGATTATTGTGAGAGTAGCTGTGTGCTTTAGTGTGTGTGTTTGTAGCGCTATGTGTGTATCTCTGTGTCAGATGCTCCTACGTTATCTCGTCTGTTGGAGAGTGCCACCCCAGCGCAGCCACCTGTCAGTGCTGATCCCCCTAAGCCCCCCACAGTGGTCCCCCCAGCCCCAGACAACCTCTCTGTGCCCAAAACAGGTCTCTGATCTCTCTGATTTCCTCTCTTCAGCACTCTCTCTGTAGAACGGTCAGTCTGTTTTTGCTCAGGCAGTCTGTTTCCTGTTTGTGTCATGTGATTTGTAGTTCATTTTCATCCAATCACAAAGCACTCAGACTGCACTGATAGTGCTACAGTTCTTGGATTATATTCTAGAATAATGGTTAATACAAACAAATTTGTGGTCGACAAGATTTTTTTTTTATGTTCTTGAAGGAAATCTTTTATGCTTACCAAGGCTGCATTTATTTAATCAAAAATACAGTAATACTGTGAAACTTTAATACAGTTTAAAATAATTGTTTTCCATGTTATTATATTTCAAAATGTAATCTATTCCTGTGATGCAAAGCTGAATTTTCAGCCTCATTACTCCAGTCTTCAGTGTCACATGATCCTTCAGAAATCATTCTAATATGCTGATTTGCTGCTCAAGATGCTGATTTGCTGCTCATTTACTCACCCTAATCCTTCTTCCAAACCCATATGGGGTTTGGAAGAAGGATAAGGGTGAGTAATTGATGACAGAATTTCCATTTTTGGGTAACCTACCCCTTTAAAAACGTTGTGGTTTTTCCTCTTAAAAAGAGTCATTACTTCCTCTTCAGAGCACTCATAAAAGAAATGAACCATAGTAAGAGTACTCTAAGCGATGTGTTTCCTGTTGTGTGTAGGAGCTGCAGCAGTTTCTGAAGGTTCTGGAGCAGAAGCGGTAATGGCAGGGTCATCCACGCTGGCTGAGGTGGAGGGGAAGGAGGCAGAGCTGGTGGAGGAGGACACAGTGGTGTCAGTGTCATACATGGCCCACGAACTGGACCTGGAGACAGTGGGAGACATCATTGCAATCATAGAGGAGAAGGTATATGCACACAAACACATGTGTATGGTTGTGATGGTGCAATTGGTTGCTACTTCATGTAGTGTCAAAGGGATAGTTCATTCAAAAATTAAAGTTCTGTCATCATTTACTTGCCCTCAAGTTGTTCCAAACCTGTACAAGTTTCTATCTTCTGTTGAGCACAAAAAAGATATTCTGAAGAATTTTGCTAACAAACCAGCTGACAGTAGCCATTGACTTCCATAGTATGGGGAAAAAAAATACCATGGATGTTCGTGGGTACCATTCATCTCTCTGACCCATCAAGTGCTTTCACAGTTCCCTCCATTTTTTTATAGACTCATAAAACAGAAAATAGTTCAAAAGCTTTTCCTTTCTGTTGCCAAATCTGAAATGAAGTAAACGAATATATCTGTCTTAGGTGGACGATCCTGTGGAGGCTTTGGACGCAGCCGCAGTGGAGGCGGCTCTCTCTCTCTGTGAGGACCCAGCGGTCAGTGGCCACCCCCTCACCAGCCCTTGGGAGTCACAGACCTTTAAGGCAGCCGAACCAGAGCCCATTGTCCAGCAGAGTCCTGCCCCAACGGGCACACAGAGCAGCCCTGACCCTGTGGGTGTGCAAGGAGAAATGGAGGTTCTGGTAGAGGAGACTACAGAAACCGAAGCAGTTGACGAAGTGACAGGGGACACTGTGGCATCTGCCGCCCCTGTCACAGAGCAGAGCCAGGACTCTGAGGTTAAGACTGAGGGCAAGAGGGAAGGAGAGGGAGAAGGAGGGATGGAGGAAGCGCAGCAGGAGAACAGAACACTGAGTCCAGCCGTGAAGTGTGAGGGGGAGGACTGGGTTCAGCCAGAGACCGTGATGCCCTGTCTGGACTCGGAAGATAGCTCAGCCTCGGCGAAAGACACAAAGGTATCAAGCAAAGCAGCAGAAAAATGAAACCTGTCTTCATATACATATGTTGTTCTTTTGAACTTTCTATTCATCTTAGAATCCTGAACAAAATGTATCACGTTTTCCACAAAAATATGAAGCAGCACAACTGTTTTCAACATTGATAATAATAAGAAATAATTTTACTTGAGCAGCAAATCAGCATATTAGAATGATTTCTGAAGGATCATGTGACACTGAAGACTGGAATAATGATGCGGAAAATTCAGCTTCGCCATCACTGGATTAAAATACATTTTAAAATATAAAAGTTATTTTAAATTTTAACAATAGTTCCCAATATTAACATGTTTTCATAACATATGTTTAGGAAAACACTATAAAACATGATTATAGTGTCAGATGAAAGCATAAAATGTTACAAACAAATGCCTTTTTCTAGAAAGTGAATGAATAAAGACACGGATGTCCTCCAAAAATGACAAAAAAAAGCACCATAAATGTGGTCTATAATACACATGCACAAGTCTTATGAAGTCATATGATTGCTTTATGTGAGTAAATGATAAAAATGTAAGTTATTAATCACTAAATATTATACCTTTTGAAACTCTCAATCTTATTTGCATTCAAATATGTATCAAAGACACATTGGGCATCAAATCTGGTCTGAAGCATGTTGACATGCTATATTTAAATGACTGTGAATGCAAATGAGATCTGAGCTGTAGTGAATTGGAAGAAAACGATTCAGTAACAACATAATTGGGACATTCTGAAAAAAAAGCTCTTTTTTTTCTGTAGAAAAGAAATTCAGAAGAATTAGGATGAGGTAATTATAACCGAAACGGCACTTTGAACCCTTTTGACCTAAAATAGGTACCTCTGAGATTTTAATGTTAGTATTTTAATAATTTAACAATAAATTCAAATGTTCTTGGTTCTCTGATGTTGGTTAATGGTCACATGACATACAGGAATTCAAGTAGTGTTTTTTATTTTTAATTTTCAATTTTACACTTCGTCAACTCACAAACCCCCTGCATTTCCCTCACAGATTGACTTGAAGGATGAATACGTAACTCTGTTTATTATTCCTTCTTCAAATGCTGTAGGAGGTGAAAGAAGAAGATGGAGGCAGTGAGGTGGATGTGGATGAAGGGATGGAGATGAAAGAGTGAGTGAGTGAGTGAGTGTGTGTGTGTGTGTGTGTGTGTGTGTGTGGCGATGGGGACGGAGAGGGGCCTTATCTCTCAGAGGTTGATCCTCCTGCCAGTGAGAGTGAGGATGGATACGGCAGTCACTCTCAGCGCTACACTACAGCGGACTCCACCGCCAGCAGCCCTGCCTCATCTCAGTTGTGAGTGTTTGTGTGGGAGCTTGTATTCTGTGTGTTTCAATCTTTCATTTGCCTTTAACAACACTCTCTCTCAGCTCAATGTGCAGTGAAGATCAAGAGGCCTTGCAGGCTCAGAAGATCTGGAAGAAAGCCATCATGCTGGTGTGGCGGGCAGCAGCCAATCACAGGTGAGCTTCTCATTCATACTTACCTCAGCTGCTGTTTTATGATGAGCTCTTACCTGTAGACAGAAATGTGTTGTATGCATTTGTCATTTATTGTTTTGTGTTTCAGGTATGCAAGTGTGTTTCTGCAGCCTGTGTCTGATGACATTGCCCCTGGTTATCACAGCATTGTACACAGGTATCAAGATGAGACTCTCTTACTTTTTTGAGTGTGTAGGGCTCTGTAATTTTTGTGACACAGAAAATGTGAACATAATCTTGGAATCCAGTCATAAAAATTGAATTTACTGTATAACACCAAATGGCAAATTTTGGGTGAATAAATCTGTGAATAATTAGCCAAATCAAGATATGGATGAATATCTGTGAATAATAATAATAAAGCTGTATTAAATCATAAATCCAATAAAATTAAAACAGATAACACAGAATTTCCTGAATGAAACAGTTCATAGGGCCCTATTATTGTAAAAATTGTAATAGATTATTAAATTGTTACAGTGTCATGTATTAATTTGATATGATTTTTTATTAAAATATATTCAAAATAATTCATTAAAATTAAGTCTAGAAAAATTAAAACAGCAAACATGGAATGTGGGAAGAATAAAACACAGTTTGGGAAAAAATAAAAGAGATTTCATGGGACTGTAAAAATGTAATTTTGGTTAAACTTTTAATAAATTGTTAAATGGTATACATTTTGTGACTTCAAGGGAATAGACATGCTTTTTAATCATTAAAATTGCTCATATTTAATTTAACCATGAAAACATAATCCAGACAAATTAAAACCAAAAACAACATTATCCAGAAAGGTTTAAAATAAAAATTTGAGAACTAAAAATGAAAAATACTTCTAAAGGATTTATTGATCATAGTTAATGTTAATTTCAACATTTACTAGTATTGTGGGAATAGTTCACTGAAAAATGAAAATTTGCAGAAAATGTACTCAGACCATCCAAGATGTAGATGAATATGTTTCTTCATCAGAACAGATTTGGAGAAATTTACATTACATCACTTGCTCACCAGTAGATCCTCAGCAGTGAATGGGTGCCATTTGGTTGGTTTGGGTGCTGTTAGTTTATGTTAATGCACTGGTCTCAAACTCAATTCCTGGAGGGCCACAGCTCTGCACAGTTTAGCTCCAACCCTAATCAAACACACCTGATCCAGCTAATCAAGGTCTTCAGGATTACTAGAAACTTCCAAGCAGGTGTGATTTGGAGCTGGTTGGAGCTAAACTCTGCAGAGCTGTGGCCCTCCAGGAATTGAGTTTGAGACCACTGTGTTAATGTATTAACTAATGTCAACTAAACAAACCTTATAGTAAAGTGTTACCAGTTTTTCTGTTGGCTAATTATGTTTTTGTCCTTCCTGAAATCTTCACCTCCTCAGACCGATGGACCTATCAGCCATCAAGAAGAACATCGAGTCTGGGCAGATCCGCACAACGGCGGAGTTCCAGCGTGACATCATGCTGATGTTCCAGAATGCGGTGATGTACAACAGCTCGGATCATGACGTCTACCACATGGCCCTAGAGATGCAGAGGGATGTTCTGGAACAGATCCAGCAGTTCTTGGCCACTCAGCTGATCATGCAAACATCAGAATCAGGCATCGGCACCAAGAGCCTGCGCGGAAGGGAGGCCAACCGCAAACAAGACCCCAATGAGAAGGTAAGAGACACACATGCATAGTCACACACACCGAAACCACAAGTGGAAAGAAAACGCTGTGGAGAAGGTTTGTGGAATATCATCATCATCTCACACACACACACACACACACACACACACACACACACACAGTGAGCACTATACAGA